GCATCCAACACCTCAAGTTGGACGCTTGTGCACTATGAGGTCTGACGCTCATCAAAATTTCTCTAGACTAGCGTCACGCACATCAAGCGCCTCCAGAGCCTCCTTTGCCAGTCTCTGTTTAATGGTGGATGAAATAAAGTGCCTTTGCTTTATTGACTGAGAGTAAGAGCAAATGGCGCTCACCAGATAATTAATTCACCAAATAATTCAGAGGAGTTATGAGTTTGGTGAGTTTCACCAAGCCTGGAGCTGTGAGCTGATGAGGCTCACTTTCAGAACTATTTTTGTTCCGAGCTTAGTTTGACAAGTCACTGACCTGCCCACATCTCCTGCCAGGACACCCACTACAGGCACTCAGTTTCAGCTGAAGAGCTCCTGTCCATCTGTCTCAGATTAGTGGACATCATTCAGGAAATCGTCCCAGTGGAAAATGTGCCACTATGTCACATAGGAGTCTCTCTGATTGGTTAGTGACTAGCTAGCCTGGTTAAAACCAGACCCTCTCCTTCACTTTGCTTCGTACAAGGGTCTGGACTTGCTGCACAGAGAATTGATTTCTTGTAGGAGGCGTGGCCTCTGCTGAAGCATGTGTGTGTTGTCGGTGTGAATGAGGCTAAGCTAAGAAGCTAACCGGAAATCGCATGTGCTGTAAACAACCCTACTGAGAGGAGAAAAGTACTGAGCCAAACGAGACGGTTGTAAATGAGAGCTGCTGCTTTGTCAGACAAATTTATTTTAATTTAGAATAATATGTTTTATGTCTAACATTTACAGTATGCTGGTCTCATGTTGAACAGTAAATTCTGGCTAAGGAACACCTGTCAGTGCATGTTGCTTAAAAAGTTTGTCAAATAAAGTAAGCAAGCAGCCTAGGCATGCTAGTCGCTAGCCGCTCAGTTACCGGTGTCAGTCTATCATTAATCCGATCAACGGACTAGGAATAGATAAAGCCTCGTGTTACAAGGTTATGGCAACCGCTGGTTGCGCTATAGTCTTAATTTTGACCCTCATACTGCACCATAGGTGTCAACCCCATTTGCCCTATTGGTCCATTCTATAACGGCAGCCAGAAGGTCTTTAAGCCCCGGCTTGAAGTGTTTTGTAAAAAGCCTTATGATGGATCTGTTATGAGGAGATTTCACTGTCATTCACTTTGTGTCTTCTAAACATCATCCTGCTAATTCTTAAAATATTGAAAAATAAACAAGAGGGAGACAAACTGTCAGCTCAAGTAGAATTAATTCAAGCAAGAGAACTCACTGAATAAGAATTCACAACCAACTTTGAAAATCCTATCTAGCACCGGTATGTCTCAGTAAACAGTAATTACAATCAGCCTTTTCCTCTGCACCAGGCTTTCACAAATCAGAGGAATTTAAAATAGGCTTAGAAAGTTTTCATGGTCTCTGCTTTTGCAAAATGTTTTAAAACAATTTTTTCATCGGCCTCCGTAATGGAATCCATTTAGTATTTGCAGAACACTGCTAGAAAGCACTGCAGAACTTGCTCTTCTTCTTTCTGCTTGTTTGACAATGGAATAAAGAGTCCTAATTGAGCATAAAGTGTTGACAGTTGTCTGACCTCAGGAGAGGTTTACACAACCCGTGTTCCCCAAGAACTCCTTGTTGAAGTATGGTGTTCTGTTTGTTGTTCTTAATGTAGCCTGCAGTTGCATTAATTGCAGGCATCTTTAATAGATCTCCCTCCCATATTGAACCCCTCCAAACAAACAAACAAACAAACAAACAAACAAACAAACAAACAAACAAACAAACAAACAAACAAATGAAACCAGCATGCACCTCTGTCTTTCTGTGCCTGTCAAAAACAACAATATACAGCCTCTTTTCTATTTATCACCATATGTTTGTGCCCCAGTTTTCACAAATGTTATTAGGGGCACACTGCTCTCCTTCAATAGATGCAACACATGATAGGTCTGGGAAATACGATTTTCCACGGTCATAGGTGCCTCCTTGTGCTAAAAGCAGCAAAGATTCTTTGAGTGTATACTGAGAAGTTTGTCAAAAACATCGCCACACCATATGATATAAGACTGATGTATGCAAAACCAAACCTGAGTAGAGACGATCTAGTGAGTCGTGGTGAGACTAGACACAAAAAGCGGTATTTGATAGTAAATGCTATATTTTCACATACATTTGAAACCACATCTAACTTTTAATAAACATTGTTGACCAAGACTTTTTAAACCTATTCATTATAGAATTTTGTGGATAATTCCTACAGATCATGGTTAAGAACCACCTTACTAACCTCTCCAAGTGCAACAGTTCTTGAGGGGCAGAAAAAGAGTTATGACCAGTGTAATGTGGCAATGACCTCAGCAACATAGGCAGGAAACCATCATATCTTATAGCAGATTATGTTTGTTTGCTCATTTATGTTACATCTGGAATACAAGCTTAAAGGCTTGTACTACTGTTTAATGTCTGTCTTAATGAATACAAAGTTTGGAAACAAACTATATCAAAATGTCTTGTAGTTTTACACCTTTTGTTGCTAGTAGTTCCTACACTGGTGCTGTTTAAGTAGCTATTAGCATGTAAGTTAACAGTTGTCCAACCCAGGTTCCACATGTTCCCAAAATGTTCTCTATTGCACTTTAGTTTCAAATAGTTTCTTGATGAAGCAAGATCACAACATGTCTGAACCAACATCACATCTCAATTCAGCTTCTCATGGTTAACTGACTTGTTATTTAACTTGTAAATAGTTGAGACCAAATTACCAATGAAAAGTCTGGTTCACCCCAAAGATCCGGTTCCCTGGCACAAACAGAGCAATGTTGTATATGCTGTTAAGTGCCAGGAGGACTGCGACCAGTTATACATCGAGGAAACTAAGCAGCCACTGTTCAAAAGAATGTCCCAACACAGACGAGCTACATCTAATGGCCAGAACTCTGCAGCTTTCACTCATTTACAGGCCAGCGGTCACTCTTTCAGAGATGAGGATGTTCTCATTCTTGATAGGGAGGAACATTGGTTTGAGAGAGGAGTAAAAG